GGCACCTAATCGCCACTACACATTGTCAGGCAACTAATCGCCACTACATATAATCAGGCACCTAATCGCCAGTACACATAATCAGGCACCTAATCGCCAGTACACATACAGGCACCTAATCGCAGGTACCTAGTCAGGCACCTAGTCGCCAGTACACATTGTCAGGCAACTAATCGCCACTACACATTGTCAGGCACCTAATCGTCAGTACACATAGTCAGACAACTAATCGCCAGTACACATTGTCAGGCACCTTATCGCCAGTACACATAGTCAGGCACCTAATCGCCGGTACATATTGTCAGGCAACTAATCGCCAGTACACATTGTCAGGCAACTAATCGCCACTACATATTGTCAGGCACCTAATCGCCAGTACACATAGTCAGGCACCTAATCGCCAGTACACATTGTCAGGCAACTAATCGCCAGTACACATTGTCAGGCACCTAATCGCCAGTACACATAGTCAGGCAACTAATCGCCAGTACACATTGTCAGGCACCTTATCGCCAGTACACATAGTCAGGCACCTAATCGCCAGTACACATTGTCAGGCACCTAATCGCCAGTACACATAGTCAGACAACTAATCGCCAGTACACATTGTCAGGCAACTAATCGCCAGTACACATTGTCAGGCAACTAATCGCCAATACACATTGTCAGGCACCTAATCGCCAGTACACATAGTCAGGCACCTAATCGCCAGTACACATTGTCAGGCAACTAATCGCCAATACACATTGTCAGGCAACTAATCGCCAGTACACATTGTCAGGCACCTAATCGCCACTACATTACTGCCAGTACAATCGCCACTACATATAGTCAGGCACCTAATCGCCAGTACACATTGTCAGGCACCTAGTCGCCAGTACACATAATCAGGCACCTAATCGCCAGTACACATAGTCAGGCACCTAATCGCCAGTACACATAGTCAGGCAACTAATCGCCACTACACATTGTCAGGCACCTAATCGCCAGTACACATAGTCAGACAACTAATCGCCAGTACACATTGTCAGGCACCTTATCGCCAGTACACATAGTCAGGCACCTAATCGCCAGTACACATTGTCAGGCAACTAATCGCCAGTACACATAGTCAGGCAACTAATCGCCAGTACACATAGTCAGGCAACTAATCGCCAGTACACATTGTCAGGCAAGTAATCGCCAATACACATTGTCAGGCAACTAATCGCCAGTACACATTGTCAGGCAACTAATCGCCAATACACATAGTCAGACAACTAATCGCCAGTACACATAGTCAGGCAACTAATCGCCAGTACACATTGTCAGGCACCTAATCGCCAATACACATAGTCAGGCACCTAATCGCCAGTACACATTGTCAGGCAACTAATCGCCAGTACACATTGTCAGGCAACTAATCGCCAATACACATAGTCAGGCAATTAATCGCCAGTACACATAGTCAGGCAACTAATCGCCAATACACATTGTCAGGCAACTAATCGCCAGTACACATAGTCAGGCAACTAATCGCCAGTACACATTGTCAGGCAACTAATCGCCAGTACACATTGTCAGGCAACTAATCGCCAATACACATTGTCAGGCAACTAATCGCCAGTACACATTGTCAGGCACCTAATCGCCGGTACACATTGTCAGGCAACTAATCGCCAGTACACATTGTCAGGCAACTAATCGCCAATACACATTGTCAGGAACCTAATTGCCGGTACACATATTCAGGCACCTAATCGCCGGTACACATAGTCAGGCACCTAATCGCCAGTACACGTAGCCAGGCACCTAATCGCCAGTACACATAGTCAGACAACTAATCGCCAGTACACATTGTCAGGCACCTAGTCGCCAGTACACATTGTCAGGCAACTAATCGCCAATACACATAGTCAGGCACCTAATCGCCAGTACACATAGTCAGGCACCTAATCACCAGTACACATTGTCAGGCACCTAATCGCCAATACACATAGTCAGGCACCTAATCGCCAGTACACATAGTCAGGCAACTAATCGCCAGTACACATAGTCAGGCACCTAATCGCCAGTACACATAGTCAGGCACCTAATCGCCACTACACATTGTCAGGCACCTAATCGCCAGTACACATTGTCAGGCACCTAATCGCCAGTACACATAGTCAGGCACCTAATCGCCAGTACACATTGTCAGGCACCTAATCGCCAGTACACATAGTCAGGCAACTAATCGCCAGTACACATTGTCAGGCACCTAATCGCCAGTACACATAGTCAGGCACCTAATCGCCAGTACACATAATCAGGCACCTAATCGCCAGTACACATAGTCAGGCACCTAGTCGCCAGTACACATAGTCAGGCAACTAATCGCCACTACACATTGTCAGGCACCTAATCGCCAGTACACATAGTCAGGCAACTAATCGCCAGTACACATAGTCAGGCACCTAATCGCCAGTACACATTGTCAGGCAACTAATCGCCACTACATATAGTCAGGCACCTAATCGCCAGTACACATAGTCAGGCACCTAATCGCCAGTACACATTGTCAGGCAACTAATCGCCAGTACACATTGTCAGGCACCTAATCGCCAGTACACATAGTCAGGCAACTAATCGCCAGTACACATTGTCAGGCACCTAATCGCCAGTACACATAGTCAGGCACCTAATCGCCAGTACACATTGTCAGGCACCTAATCGCCAGTACACATAGTCAGACAACTAATCGCCAGTACACATTGTCAGGCAACTAATCGCCAGTACACATTGTCAGGCAACTAATCGCCAGTACACATTGTCAGGCACCTAATCGCCAGTACACATAGTCAGGCAACTAATCGCCAGTACACATAGTCAGGCACCTAATCGCCACTACACATTGTCAGGCAACTAATCGCCACTACATATAGGTCAGGCACCTAATCGCCAGTACACATTGTCAGGCACCTAATCGCCAGTACACATAATCAGGCACCTAATCGCCAGTACATAGTCAGGCACCTAATCGCCAGTACACATAGTCAGGCAACTAATCGCCAGTACACATTGTCAGGCACCTAATCGTCAGTACACATAGTCAGGCACCTAATCGCCGGTACACATTGTCAGGCAACTAATCGCCAGTACACATTGTCAGGCAACTAATCGCCAATACACATTGTCAGGCACCTAATCGCCGGTACACATATTCAGGCACCTAATCGCCAGTACACATAGTCAGGCACCTAATCGCCAGTACACATAGCCAGGCACCTAATCGCCAGTACACATAGTCAGGCAACTAATCGCCAGTGCACATAGTCAGGCACCTAATCGCCAGTACACATTGTCAGGCAACTAATCGCCAATACACATAGTCAGGCACCTAATCGCCAGTACACATAGTCAGGCACCTAATCGCCAGTACACATTGTCAGGCACCTAATCGCCAGTACACATTGTCAGGCAACTAATCGCCAGTACACATAGTCAGGCAACTAATCGCCAGTACACATAGTCAGGCAACTAATCGCCAGTACACATAGTCAGGCAACTAATCGCCAATACACATTGTCAGGCAACTAATCGCCAATACACATAGTCAGGCAATTAATCGCCAGTACACATTGTCAGGCAACTAATCGCCAGTACACATTGTCAGGCAACTAATCGCCAATACACATTGTCAGGCAACTAATCGCCAGTACACATTGTCAGGCACCTGATCGCCGGTACACATTGTCAGGCAACTAATCGCCAGTACACATTGTCAGGCAACTAATCGCCAATACACATTGTCAGGCACCTAATCGCCAGTACACATATTCAGGCACCTAATCGCCGGTACACATAGTCAGGCACCTAATCGCCAGTACACATAGTCAGGCACCTAATCGCCAGTACACATAGTCAGACAACTAATCGCCAGTACACATTGTCAGGCACCTAATCGCCAGTACACATTGTCAGGCAACTAATCGCCAATACACATAGTCAGGCACCTAATCGCCAGTACACATAGTCAGGCACCTAATCGCCAGTACATAGTCAGGCACCTAATCGCCAGTACACATAGTCAGGCACCTAATCGCCAGTACACATAGTCAGGCAACTAATCGCCAGTACACATAGTCAGGCACCTAATCGCCAGTACACATAGTCAGGCACCTAATCGCCACTACACATAGTCAGGCACCTAATCGCCAGTACACATAGTCAGGCACCTAATCGCCAATACACATAGTCAGGCACCTAATCACCAGTACACATTGTCAGGCACCTAATCGCCGGTACACATAGTCAGGCACCTAATCGCCACTACACATTGTCAGGCAACTAATCGCCAGTACACATTGTCAGGCACCTAATCGCCAGTACACATAGTCAGGCACCTAATCGCCAATACACAGTCAGGCAACTAATCGCCAGTACACATTGTCAGGCACCTAATCGCCGGTACACATTGTCAGGCACCTTATCGCCAGTACACATAGTCAGGCACCTAATCGCCAGTACACATAGTCAGCCCTCTAACCCTCTCATCTATCGCGGCTTCCTCAAGATTGAAAGTCGTACAATTGGTACCCTAGGCCTTGGAACGTGTGCACCCCTCTGATAAGTGAAAATTATCACGACTCCCACGACCGAAAGCTATCAATACACCCTGTGTACCCTTCTGTCCACTCAACTCAACAAAAGTACTAGAATCTGTCCTTCACTGAGACAGTGTAATACCAACTATAACAAGTGTTACAATATATGTGACGTTACGTTAACAGTGACAATACACCGAGCAGTGTTGTTCTTGCTGGGTACATGGCACTGCATATCCATCTCATGTAGTTATCCGCCATGTCGGTTGCTATGACGCCACGTGTACGCACACTACTGGTGTAGCGTGTGGTTCCGCGAGCTGACATTCCCGCCAAACACTTGAGTCGGGCTATATTAAAACCGTTTACCCGGCGGCGAGGCAGTCGTATTCCTAGCTGCGTGTCTGCGAAGTTCACTAGAACAATGGAGATCTCAACACTTGTTTTCCTGATTTTGTTGTCCTAGGTGTCAGCGACGTACAGGCTGCTCGCAGTGGTCCAACCTTGGCTGATCGAGTGGCAGTGATAGAGGAGGAGATGAAAACATGGAAATTTGTAACTGTTCAAGCTAAGAACAAGAGGAGTACCTTGGCTAGACGGATGAGACTGGTGTTAGCTGAAGTTGGCAGCCTGAAATACAGTTTACAAAACACCAAGACGCAACTGAGAGTAATAACTCAAGAGCTGAAACATGTTCGACAGGAAAAAGACACGTACAGCGAGAGTGTTGGAAAACTACGCGACGAGATGAATAAGACGGCAGCTGATCTGCGTGATGCCAGGATGCTGATATCTGAACTGAATCCGACCAATCAAGATCTTTTTGCCACAAAACAACAGATCACAGGTCTTACCAGGGACTTGATGACACTGAATTTGAGTTGTTGTGTGGTGAGGGATGAGGCTAAAGAGACTGATGGTAATGAGGGTTCGATGACAACATCGTCATTGTCGCAGGTGTCACTCACGACATCGACCACGACGTATCCTGGAACTACTGCAGGTGAGACTTTTTACAGAGATTATTCGCTTGGTTACAATTCTATCTTGATATTCCAACCCAAAGATATACGTTTAACGTTATCATTTCATTACAATTTAGCCAATTGTTTTAGTCATCCTGCATACGTACTAAGTATGTGTCTTCTGCTTTTGAAACAATATGTTGGAGGTAAACTTTCTTTGTTTTTAGTGGAAACCTTTCATTTCCGAACTACCCATATTTCAAACGCTTATTGACCAATAAAATTTGTGATCACTAAGGCTATGTGATTACAGCACATACAAACATAGGGTTCACATGGCATGTCAGCATAGGGTTCACATGACATGTCAGCATAGGGTTCACATGACATGTCAGCATAGGGTTCACATGACATGTCAGCATAGGGTTCACATGACATGTCAGCATAGGGTTCACATGGCATGTCAGCATAGGGTTCACATGACATGTCAGCATAGGGTTCACATGACATGTCAGCATAGGGTTTATTGCGCATGTAAACATGATGATGATTGGACATCTATTTTATTGGATATGTGTTCATATAGGGCATTGGGTATTGTTGATACGTACAACGTAGATTTTATTGTGCATTTGAAAAGTTAACAGGACATGCCAGTGGTGCATGTCGTGCACAGAGTTTATTTGACTGCAAATTGGGTATTTCGTATATAAATGACTCCACTAGTCATATTATATACACATTACAGACTGCCTGATTACAGAGTGTCACATACTAGAGTAAATATAACCCCGAAAATTAAAAGTTAATATAATCTATTAACTAAATATGCCCTGATCACAATGATTCATATATGCTGTCACTCCTAACTTCATTCTCACAATCATCAAACACACTCACTCTCTTTCCCCTACTTAGCCAAGTACGTACCTCATACCTCACCATTCACATACACTCACATCAACGCTCCAAATGTAACACCATTACAAAGGCCTTTCTAAAGAAACACACAACAGTTCATATGATATAATATATACATTAAATGGAATATACAGACCAACTACATCCAACGCATATTTACTTTATCCTGTGCAGTTTACACAGTAGGCGGCCTGCCGGTATGGTCTATGTTGATCGGTTGGGACAGCCTTAATGGATGGGGCATGTCACTCTCCCTAAACACTCAGATGTCAAGAGTCCAGATTCACGGGCGGCATGTCACTCTCCCTGAATACTCGGATGTCAAAAGTCCCGATTCACGGGAGGCATGTCACTCTCCCAAAACACTCAGATGTCAAAAGTCCAGATTCACGGGCGGCATGTCACTCTCCCAAAACACTCAGATGTCAAAAGTCCAGATTCACGGGCGGCATGTCACTCTCCCAAAACACTCAGGTGTCAAAAGTCCAGATTCACAGACGGCATGTCAGGGTCGATCCCTCTCGATCGGCGGAAAGCCTTACGGAGTATATCTATCCCGGACACTGGATATAGAAAGCACACCATGTACTTGGTGACTTTACACATACACTATATGGACACATATACTTAACACACACAGGATCTGTCTACAGGGCTGTTTTACCGACACTTAATGCACAACACTATCACATTACACGTGATCTGCTGACTGATTATTATATTACGTCAGTTTACCATCTTAGTTACATTATAAAAAAAAGGTTTTCATATACATTACAATTCCATCATATTATCAACCTCACTAATTATAAGAAATATATTGAATCAGAGATACGGTGATATTATAAGGTGAAATGACATTAAATCTCAATGTATTTGGTGGTTGCATGAAAGCGATAGTAGATAATCACTCTTGATGCATGACAAGTGCTTGTAACAGCCGCCCTCCATCTCTCGAATCCACAAATCTTGTGAACGCACCCAGGGTCTCGGTGGCTTGGAGAAGGGTTGGCAAGGGTGGGGCTGGTTCGTCACTATCAATGTCACTGTCATTGACTCCTAATCCGTATTTCTCAGTCCGCAATTTAGAAACAACTCAACAATCACATGCTAGTCACATGATTGCACAATCCCCTCATTGCTTCTCAGTATGTTTTGATTGAAAACTATAATCCGTTATCAGTAGTGTTTAGTGGTAACAGTGAGTACTTCCTAATAAATTCCTTCTTAATTAAACCTAATTAATCAAGTGACCTTCAACTCAAATTGCCCTAATTAGTTTACACTACCGTATCTCTTTGATTCATGCCGCAGCGTGTGTAAACATGTAGACAGAACTTCAGTTCAGAGTGATACTTGCCCATGAAAGGTAGGTGAATACCGAGTTTCTTATTAATATCGAGTTAACAGGGTAATTTTGCTTGTCGGGACCATGAAATTATATCTAGATATCTGAAATATCGAGACATCCGTAGCAAGTTAAAAGAGCTTGAATAATGATAAAATATGAAGGATTTTGCCGGGACCGAGATGTTATATATCGACACATCCGAGATATCGGGTTATCAGTGTTCGACACAAAGGTTCATCGACTGTATAAACAATTCATTCACATATTCTAACTACAACATAACATAATATTATAATCCTCACACCAGTTGAATATCCAGGAAAACCAGCCAACCTGACACACACACGCAATTGGTTGCAATCTCCCAACTTTCAAATCAGTCCTTATGTAGCCCCAAACTATAATACCCGACTTGATTGACCCCCAACTTTCCAGATACATACACTGGTCTCCCATACTCCCATATGGTATTCTGAATAGGCGAACAACTTATGGACACTGTATCTGAACATAAATATCTCGGTATCTATCTCACACTTAGACTGAGTTGGGGAATACCTGTCTACAATTAGCACAACAGGCTCAGAAAAACACAGTTTGTCTTTCATTATAAGCTCAATGTAAGTACGTACACAGAATGATCGTAGCTATTTACATCTAAGCATCTGACGTCGAATGATATCTACATATGACGTGTTTTCAAAGGGGGCATATATATTTTTTTAAACAAATACAGTGTATTGGGAGTTTTGTGATACAAACAATCGGTGAATTAAGGAGGCGGTAACAGTTCCTCCCTTTCCCCCATCCCAAATAATATTTATTAATTAATATATACTAAAATAATTAACAAAACCTAACACAACAATTACTATAGAAATCACAAAAACGACTAAAAGTCCATAACTTAGGTTAGGGTTAGGGTTGGGGAAACGGAAGGAACTCTTTCCAGAGAAGCATCCGATATGCTTATAATACAATTGTCGTCCATGTCATGCCACAGGTAACACGAAATGTGTTGTAATATGCTGCTTTGATCTGATAAAACTGGAGGGCTAACATGGAACGATTACAAATATTTCCATACAAAGTTGTTAATCAGTCCAAGCAGTCGAGCGCCAAACGTTGCCATGCTCCTAGCCAGACACGTCACAATGACGTCATAGCTGGCAGCTTTGCGGTCGTGGTGTCGCCAGTCAAGGCATTTCATAGCTAGATGAGTCGCTCGTGTTAGGACGTTATTGGTGGGTAAGTGTCTCAGTTTCTACTTTTTAACTGATTTAGGAAATTTGATGAAATAGTGTAAATGTACATCGTACGTCTACTGTAAAGCTGTATGAATGTTGTAGGAACCAAGTGCTTGCTCACACAATGTTTACACCAGACCTGTGTTTAGCCTGTCACCGGCGGGGACGATGGAAGGTCTGGGTAAACATAACAACGCAGCGGTTCACCTGATAGACTTGTTATATTTGATCAAATAATGTGCTCTTTCTTAGCGTTATGCTTTGACTGATTGCATTTACCTCTGTCACGGAAGACTTTATGAGAATGTTTTATATCTTTCCGGTCAAATATTTAATTTACACTGTATTTCATTTCTTTTTATTCTGCGTCAATGAATAGTTGCATTGCATTGAAATACACCCCGCTATATAGCACACGGTGAAACGTATCAGTTAAAATCGGTTTACAATGAAGACCTGTAGAGTTGCTTTTTAACAATGAAACCTTAAATGTGGAACACATGCATTTCTGCAACATTTAGAAAAAAACAATAAATTATGGAAGGGCAAGTACGCTTTATTCTCGTTATTTCTAATATTGAAACAGACGGAGAATGTTAATCACTCGGACAGCGACATGTCTATCTTGACCACCACACACTTTCACGTGTTTGTACCCTTGTTGTTTATCAAAGCACATTGCTTCCATCGACAAGTATGGCTGTGTCAGCTGCAGTTTCCGCCTCAGATAGTAGTTGTGTGAGAATTGCACTTCCGCCATCGTTCGGTATGCTGACATTTTCTGCGCGCTGGACAAAGTTTGCCTGACACTTTGTGACTAAATTTAAACTGTGTTGCACAAACAGGAAGTCAAAAGGCGAAACCGCATTATCAGTGGTTCGTGTCGTTTGCTGTTGTTTCACTATGTAGTAACTATTTCATGCATTTTGTATCAATATGTGATGCTTAAGTTGTATTTATGAATATTTCTTTCGTCAGATATCTGTGATTTTTTTGTCCACAACGTTTCAAATTTTGTTTAGTTTCAAATGTGTGCCCAATGTGATGAGAGAGTGTACCCTCCATTGAATACTAAACTTTAAATCTGCTTCACATTAGAATTTATGGAATTGCCTAAAATACCATGTACAAAAATAAACAGCTATAATGGGGACATCAAGGAAAGACATTTTTGAAATTCCAGTTACGGTTAATGAATTCAAACTAAAAAAAAGGGGGTCATTCCAGAAAGAGGAATTATAATTAGGTTTAAGTGCAGATGTTTTTGTTTGTTTATTTATTGTTTTCTTTCAGTGTAATAATGTAAATATGTTTATACTTAAAGTACCCGTAGAATTTGCTTGACACTAGCCTAACCCTAACCTAACCCTGAGGGCAAACAGATCCTTTAGTTACACTGTTCATGTTTATATTTCAAAACAGCATAACAATCTATTCAGTTACTACATTGCAACAAAGAGGAGCATCTCAGCTGCTGGGACACAGTCAGTACAAAGCTTATTACACTTACTGAATCAAACTGTAAAAATATATGTAGGAAATGTTCTTTTTCTCTCCTGCAGAGAAACAATCAAAGCAAACCATATATATTTAATACTTCTGCTATAACACATTTTATCCACATATTAATTTATCCACAAATAATATTGAAAGGCAAAACATTGTGGAAAGCGAAAACTGAGGCCAGTAGTAATAACAATGCTTATGTGCTATGCATAGTTTTCTGAATATAATATTCCCTGTTTCAGCCTCGACTGGCCCGACCCAGAACAACACGGTTCCACCATCGCCAGTGACAACACAAGACTCTGATCTACAGGGTAGGTGGGAAAACCCAGCAGACAGGGACGTCAGTCCTTAATTCTCCGTCCATTTAACAGAGTGGAGTATATATATACCCGTGGAGATTCTGACTTGAGGTCACAGGATTTCAAACTGCCACTTAAGGAAGGATTTCAAACTGTTTAAAATAATTAGGGAGTGTTACTCTTTTCCTGTATCGACATGCGGTCTCGATGGAGAATTATCTCAGTTAAATTGAATGATACATATTTAATACTTCTTTCATAAGATATGTATTTAGAATTTAATCATACATAACACTGAAAGGCGAAACATTATGTGGAAAGGCGAAAACGGAGCCAGCAGTAGAAATGTTTGTGTGCTATGTATAGTTTTCTGAACAACATATTCCCTGTTTCAGCCTCGACCACCGACGTGAGTGATGATCTGACACCGAGCAACACGGTTCCACCCACGCCAGTGACGACACAAGACTCCCACGGTAGGTGGAAAACCCAGCAGACGGGAAGAATAGTGGTGTCGATCGACGTTCATGTTGTCAGTCACAGGATTCCAGATAATTATGCTGAGGTCGCCATCAGACCATCAGAATACTGCTGAGTGTGGCGTCAAACCTCAACCAAAACACTGTGACATAAACCAACGTTATATCTTATTACCCTAAAACCAAACAACAGTTGTACTGACATTATCAACTTGTAAAGTTCAACAAACATCAACACTCTCCAGCCAAACACAAAATATTGCTACAACTTCTGGCTCTAACAGAAAGTTCTGTATTAAACACACCATCGTTTATCCCAGAAACCACATGTTGACATTCCCGCCATGTTGTATTGTTGTCAGCCATGATGGAATTGTTTAAACGATGCAGCAATGTCCGAGTCACGTATCAACATGGTGAAGACATTGTAGATGTGTGACACAGATGTCTGATGTTTACTTTGTGTTGCAGCGACTCCATCACCAGCAGCAGGCCGCCGCCTCTACTCCGCCAGCAAGGCCGGTGACCTGGAGACAGTGAAGCGGATCCTGGCAGCGGGTCACGTGGACATCAACACGAGAGGAGGATTCTACAGCAGGACACCGGTGATGGAGGCAGCACGGTATGGACGCAGCGATGTGGTGGAGTTCCTGGTGGGTAGAGGGGCTGATGTGTCGCTGGTGGACAGGTTCGGTAACAACGTCCTTCACTTGGCCTGTCATGGTGGAGACCTGGAGACGGTGAAGCTGATCGTGTCCAGGAACCTGGTGGACGTCAACAGTAGAGGACGGTACAGCAGGACACCGGTGATGTGGGCAGCAGGGGGAGGACACAGCGATGTGGTGGAGTTCCTGGTGGGTAGAGGGGCTGATGTGTCGCTGGTGGACAGTGACGGTGACAACGTCCTTCACTACGCCTGTATTGGTGGAGACCTGGAGACGGTGAAGCTGATCGTGTCAAGGAACCTGGTGGACGTCAACGCCAGGAACAACGACGGGCGGACAGCGGTCGACAAGGCGAGAGACGAGGGACGTCAGCGACTGGTGGAGTTCCTGGTGTCACGTGGTGGACACTGAAGTCGGTGTCGGTGTGGACGGAGACGGGGCACATGCCGTTGCTGACACTGACGAGGTGTGCGCCGTTCAGTCGTGTTCACGATTTTCTTCCTGAATATAAATAAAACTTGTTGAATGTATTTTCAGACATTTTGTCATTTGTTGTGTTTGTAGCGTCGCGTGATCAGGTAAGAAAATTGTGAAGTGAGTGTAAACATGAACGGTGAGTGATTGTACGTAAACGTCGCCCGTCTTAACATTATTCTGTGTTAATTTTGTTCTGAGAATATCGCGAATTGTGAAACCGACAACAACAAACTGTTTGTTTACATGTCGCTGCACACTGTGACCTCAGACTGAGCTTAGGGTTCACCCAGTGACATGGCGCCATTTGTACAGTGACAGTGACGTCACACTGCTGGTGACGTCACAGATATACACTGAGGTGCCCGGCCGTCTTCTCGGCCAGATAGGACAGAGAGCGGCGCAATGCTGGCATCGTGCCATACAGCACAAACAGTATTTGTCAAATACCATGTGTTGGGTATCGTTTAACAAGGGAAGGATGGACATCTGTAGCTGATTACTACTGAGATTTAACCCTTTTGATGCCACAGGGAAATGTACCCTTTCTGTAGTGACAAAATATACAAAATCAAACACATGACAATCATCACCCAAATTATCTCAGATTTGTTAACCCTGGATGCCGGAATGACAAACACTTCCCCCTCTTCTCTGTTTCCTGATCTAACATTGCTGAAATGACCGGTAAGAATTATATACATGGTAAATCTCGCCATTTTTGGACACATGAAGAGTTCGCCATTCGCGGCATCGTTTACTGTATGTTGTAAAGGTAAATATCGGATATTAACCCGTTGAACTGAATTTGAAAAATAGCCAGTTAGTGATTAGTGGTATGTGGTTTTTATCAAGTCGCCAATGAGTATACTGAAACCCCGCCTATAACCCTGAAATCGTTTGGACCGTCTCGGGAGCAGGCAAACACACACGCCGAAGTGAGCTCTCCGTTATGTTTGATAGTGTTTACTGAAGCATGTTTCACGTAAGCTGGTCATGAGACGCCAATTACATCACAAATATTTAACACTCAGCTCTAAACACACACCTTGAATTCCTCATACATTTTACAATCAATAATGCCCGATGTTACTAGTTCAAATAGTTGATGATATCAAGCCCCTGGATGTCGAGGTGTCTGACACAAGTCTGAAAAGTGAACGTTGTGCGAGGAATGATCTGACAACGTTATGCATTCAGTATATATTGTGGCTTGACATAACTGACACACGCATAGAGACGAGGGGCGTAACTCCGCTAGGCTTTACACGATGTCATTGTAACCACAGGGGCGTGTCACGCTTAGAAACAGCGTTAGAAAGACATATAGGTATATAGACCCTACCCTAGTACTATATAAAAGGAAAGGGATGTAACGACGGAACCACCCCCTCCTCAATCAAAGTTAGATTTCACCACGTAAACTATTTTTAAGGCCCCGTCGAGGCCTACTGATCGAAAGCGAGATGATTTCCCTACAAAATGAGCTATAAATGGTCACAATCGGATCATTATTTCAAAAGTTATACGCCACGACTCACCGAAAACAGCTACCTCCGCAATTCCAAGCCAAAATCATGGATCACCGAAGACAGCAAAAACTCACCTTTTAAATTCGTTTATTAATTCCAGCCACGTTTACAGCACCTATATAGGGCTAGATTCGATCGGCAGCGGCATTCCACGGGTCTTAAAACTTATTGCAACATCTACAAATCATTTCCTCGAAAGTAAGCAGGCATTTTCTCCAAAACCATCGGCAATCATACTCACTTGTCGGCCATAGATGGCCTTGACATTTAAGTATTAATACACTAGCGTAGACTTACACATGCATTAATACATTAGCGTACACTAACACATGCATTAATACACTAGCGTAGACATACACATGTATTAGTACAAAAGCGTAGACTAACACAAGTATTAATACACTAGCGTAGACTAACTCAAGTATTAATACTCTAGCGTAGACTTACACAAGTTCGGTAACAACGTCCTTCACTGGGCCTGTCATGGCGGAGACCTGGAGACGGTGAAGCTGATCGTGTCCTGGAACCTGCTGGACGTCAACAGTAGAGGATGGGACAGCTGGACACCGGTGATGGAGGCAGCAGTGAAGGGACACAGCGATGTGGTGGAGTTCCTGGTGGGTAGAGGGGCTGATGTGTCGCTGGTGGACAGTGACGGTGACAACGTCCTTCACTGCGCCTGTAGTGGTGGAGACCTGGAGACGGTGAAGCTGATCGTGTCCTGGAACCTGCTGGACGTCAACGCCAGGAACAACGACGGGCGGACAGCGGTCTACATGGCGAGACGCTATGGACATCCGCGAGTGGTGAAGTTCCTGGTGTCACGTGGTGGACACTGAAGTCGGTGTCGGTGTGGACAGCGACGGGTCACATGTCGTTGCTGACACTGACGAGGTGTGCGCCGTTCAGTCGTGTTCACGATTTTCTTCCTGAATATAAATAAAACTTGTTGAATGTATTTTCAGACATTTTGTCATTTGTTGTGTTTGTAGCCTCGCAGGATCAGGTAAGAAAATTGTGAAGTGAGTGTAAATATAAACGGTGAGTGATTGTACGTAAACTTCGCCCGTCTAAACATAATTCTGTGTTAATTTTGTTCTGAGAATATCGCGAATTGTGAAACCGACAACAACAAACTGTTTGTTTACATGTCGCTGCACTCTGTGACCTCAGCTGACATGGCGCCATTTGTACAGTGACAGTGACGTCACACTGCTGGTGACGTCACAGATATACACTGAGGTGCCGGCCGTCTTCTCGGCCAAATAGGACAGACAGCGGCGCAATGCTGGCATCGTGCCAGACAACACAAACAGTGTTAGTCAAGTACCATGTGGTCGGTGTCGTTTAACAAAGGAAGAATGGACATATGTAGCTGATTACTGCTGAGATTTAACCCTTTTAGTGCCACAGGGAAATGTACCCCTTCTACATTGACTAAACGCACGGTATACAAAATTAAACTGAAAACAATCATCACCGAAATCATCTCAGTTATATAAATCCCTGGATGCCAGAAAGACAAATATCTGCCCCAGTTCTCTGTTTCTTGATCTAACACACTGTTTTTATGTAAACCACAATTGCTGAAATGACCAGTAAGAAATATGTACATCGTAAATCTGGCCATTTTTGACACATGACGATTTCGCCATTCGCGGCATCGTTTACTGTATGCTGTAAATGTAAATATCGGGTATTTACCCGTTGAACTGAATTTGAAAAATAACCAATTAGGGATCAGTGGGATGGTTTTTTTGTCAAGTCGCCAATAGAACCTCGCCTATAACCTTGGGATAACCTTTAAATCGTCTTGGGGGCAGGCAAACACAAACGCCGAAGTGAGTTTTCCGTTATATTTGATAGTGAGAGGGTGAGTAAGTGACTTAGCTTAGTTTTACGCCGCTTTTAGCAATATTCCAGCAATATCACGACGGGGAACACCAGAAATGGGCTTCACACATTGTAGCCATTTGGGGAATCAAACCCGGGTCTTCGGCGTGACGAGCGAACGCTTCAATCACTGGGCTACCCCACCGCCCCTATTTGACAGTGTTTACAAAATCCCGTTTCACGTAAGGTCTGCATGAAACGCCAGTTACCTCGCACGTGTTTAACACTCAGCTGCAGCACACACATCCCTGAGTTCTTCACATATTTAAAAAACAAATGACTGATGGTCTTAGTTACCTGTTCAAATAGTGTTGATATTAAACCCCTGAATACCGTTCAAATAGTGTTGATGATATTAACTCCTTGGATGCCGTTCAAATAGTGTTGATATTAACCCCCTGGATGCCGTTCAAATAGTGTTGATGATATTAACCCCCTGGATGCCATTCAAATAGTGTTGATGATATCACCCCCCTGGATGCCATTCAAATAGTGTTGATGATATTAAAATTTACTATTCATTCGAGCTGTTTGTCTACACTGGTGTGTTTGAGCTATATTTGTTGCCACTGAATACAATACAGAACGTAAGTGAAAAGGAATACCCAGTCTAGACTACCCCCAGAAACAAACTACAGTTGGTGTCAGGGGGAATACCCAGTCTAGACTATCCCCAGAAACAAACTACAGTTGGTGTCAGGGGAATACCCAGTCTAGACTACCCCCAGAAACAAACTACAGTTGGTGTCAGGGGGGAATACCCAGTCTAGACTACCCCCAGAAACAAACTACAGTTGCTGTCATGGGGGAATACCCAGTCTAGACTACCCCCAGAAACAAACTACAGTTGGTGTCATGGGGGAATACCCAGTCTAGACTACCCCCAGAAACAAACTACAGTTGGTGTCATGGGGGAATACCCAGCCTAGACTACCCCCAGAAACAAACTACAGTTGCTGTCAGGGGGAATACCCAGTCTAGACTACCCCCAGAAACAAACCCAGTTGGTGTCAGGGGAATACCCAGTCTAGACTACCCCCAGAAACAAACTACAGTTGGTGTCATGGGGTAATACCCAGTTCTAGACTACCCCAGAAACAAACTACAGTTGGTGTCATGGGGGAATAGTCTACTATCCCAGAACAAACTACAGTTGGTGTCATGGGGGAATACCCAGTCTAGACTACCCCAGAAACAAACTACAGTTGGTGTCAGGGGGAATACCCAGTCTAGACTACCCCAGAAACAAACTACAGTTGGTGTCATGGGGGAATACCCAGTCTAGACTACCCCCAGAAACAAACTACAGTTGGTGTCAGGGGGAATACCCAGTCTAGACTACCCCCAGAAACAAACTACAGTTGCTGTCATGGGGAATACCCAGTCTAGACTACCCCCAGAAACAAACTACAGTTGGTGTCATGGGTGAATACCCAGTCTAGACTACCCCCAGAACAAACTACAGTTGGTGTCATGGGGAATACCCAGTCTAGACTACCCCAGAAACAAACTACAGTTGGTGTCAGGGGTGAATACCCAGTCTAGACTACCCCAGAAAACAAACTACAGTTGGTGTCATGGGGAATACCCAGTCTAGACTATCCCCAGAAACAAACTACAGTTGGTGTCAGGAATACCCAGTCTAGACTACCCCAGAAACAAACTACAGTTGGTGTCAGGGGAATACCCAGTCTAGACTACCCCCAGAAACAAACTACAGTTGGTGTCAGGGGAATACCCAGTCTAGACTACCCCCAGAAACAAACTACAGTTGGTGTCAGGGGGAATACCCAGTCTAGACTACCCCCAGAAACAAACTACAGTTGCTGTCATGGGTGAATACCCAGTCTAGACTACCCCCAGAAACAAACTACAGTTGGTGTCAGGGGGGAATACCCAGTCTAGACTACCCCCAGAAACAAACTACAGTTGGTGTCAGGGGAATACCCAGTCTAGACTACCCCCAGAAACAAACTACAGTTGGTGTCATGGGGGAATACCCAGTCTAGACTACCCCAGAAACAAACTACAGTTGGTGTCATGGGGGAATACCCAGTCTAGACTACCCCCAGAAACAAACTACAGTTGCTGTCATGGGTGAATACCCAGTCTAGACTACCCCCAGAACAAACTACAGTTGGTGTCATGGGTGAATACCCAGTCTAGACTATCCCCAGAAACAAACTACAGTTGGTGTCAGGGGAATACCCAGTCTAGACTATCCCCAGAAACAAACTACAGTTGGTGTCATGGGGAATACCCAGTCTAGACTACCCCAAGAAACAAACTACAGTTGCTGTCATGGGGAATACCCAGTCCTAGACTACCCCCAGAAACAAACTACAGTTGGTGTCAGGGGAATACCCAGTCTAGACTACCCCCAGAAACAAACTACAGTTGCTGTCAGGGGGAATACCCAGTCTAGACTACCCCAGAAACAAACTACAGTTGGTGTCATGGGGAATACCCAGTCTAGACTACCCCCAGAAACAAACTACAGTTGGTGTCAGGGGAATACCCAGTCTAGACTACCCCCAGAAACAAACTACAGTTGGTGTCATGGGGAATACCCAGTCTAGACTACCCCCAGAAACAAACTACAGTTGGTGTCAGGGGGGAATACCCAGTCTAGACTACCCCCAGAAACAAACTACAGTTGGTGTCAGGGGGAATACCCAGTCTAGACTACCCCCAGAAACAAACTACAGTTGGTGTCAGGGGAATACCCAGTCCTAGACTACCCCAGAAACAAACTACAGTTGGTGTCATGGGGAATACCCAGTCTAGACTACCCCAGAAACAAACTACAGTTGGTGTCATGGGGAAATACCCAGTCTAGACTACCCCAGAAACAAACTACAGTTGGTGTCAGGGGGAATACCCAGTCTAGACTACCCCAGAAACAAACTACAGTTGGTGTCAGGGGGAATACCCAGTCTAGACTACCCCCAGAAACAAACTACAGTTGGTGTCAGGGGAATACCCAGTCTAGACTACCCCCAGAAACAAACTACAGTTGCTGTCATTGGGGAATACCCAGTCTAGACTACCCCCAGAAACAAACTACAGTTGCTGTCATTGGGGAATACCCAGTCTAGACTACCCCAGAAACAAACTACAGTTGGTGTCAGGGGGGAATACCCAGTCTAGACTACCCCCAGAAACAAACTACAGTTGGTGTCATGGGAGAATACCCAGTCTAGACTACCCCCAGAAACAAACTACAGTTGGTGTCATTGGGGAATACCCAGTCTAGACTACCCCCAGAAACAAACTACAGTTGGTGTCATGGGGGAATACCCAGTCTAGACTACCCCCAGAAACAAACTACAGTTGGTGTCAGGGGGAATACCCAGCCTAGACTACCCCCAGAGAAACAAACTACAGTTGGTGTCAGGGGAATACCCAGTCTAGACTACCCCCAGAAACAAACTACAGTTGGTGTCAGGGGGAATACCCAGTCTAGACTACCCCAGAAACAAACTACAGTTGGTGTCAGGGGAATACCCAGTCTAGACTACCCCCAGAAACAAACTACAGTTGGTGTCAGGGGAATACCCAGTCTAGACTATCCCCAGAAACAAACTACAGTTGGTGTCATTGGGGAATACCCAGTCTAGACTACCCCCAGAAACAAACTACAGTTGGTGTCATGGGGGAATACCCAGTCTAGACTACCCCCAGAAACAAACTACAGTTGGTGTCATGGGGGAATACCCAGTCTAGACTACCCCAGAAACAAACTACAGTTGGTGTCATGGGGAATACCCAGTCTAGACTACCCCCAGAACAAACTACAGTTGGTGTCAGGGGAATACCCAGTCTAGACTACCCCCAGAAACAAACTACAGTTGGTGTCATTGGGGAATACCCAGTCTAGACTACCCCCAGAAACAAACTACAGTTGGTGTCATGGGGGAATACCCAGTCTAGACTACCCCCAGAA